AACCAACATTTGAATTGTTGACACAATTGTTGCGTTCATTTCACTGATTACTGATTTGTTTCATAACCCCTGAATAGGGGACAGAAGTGAAAGCCATAACGTTTTCAAATATGCAAATCCACGAGAAAGTCGGCCGAAGCGATGTCTACGTTATCATTGATATCTAGTTTTTGTCATTAAAATTGCACTTTGAATCCTAAAATTTGTCAGAAATATTGAACAATGATTGGCAATCCATTATCGCATGGGTTGTCTTCACTGCATATGAATGCCAGTGAATCGGTTGTCGATCGCAGCCATCAGATGTTACGATGCGATCATTTTTTATAAATGAGCGCAAAGTTTAGTTTGACTACCATTTCATTGTTGTCTCCAATTCCTTGACGGTAATCGACGGTAAACAGTAAATGCATTGTAAAACTTTCATTTAATTTTATTATTATTTATCAGTTGTAAAATTTTACAATGCAATGGCATATTGTCTTATATGTAGGACTATTTTGTATTATTTTTATATTTTATATTAAATTAATTTAATGAGGAATTGATTTTTGCAAAATTCAATTTAGGCACAGAATTTAATACGTGTTTTAAAAATATCATTAATGTATTTCAGGCCAATATTAAACTTAATTAAGTGAATAATCTCTACTATTCTGAGAGATTGTGTCTAAATTATCAAGATTTATGACCAATATATTGAGCGCATATAATCATATATTTTCATTATATCCTAACTGACCATTAGTTTTAATATATAAATCGGTACTAAATATATGGCTTTTTGTCACAAAAATAGGCATTAAATATTTGTTTTATACTAAATGCTTAGTCTCTCTCTCTCTCTCTCTCTCTCTCTCTCTCTCTCCGTCTTCTATTCACTATATATTTTTCATTACATCGATATGTGTTTTGCGTCAAACAAAACACAAAACAACTCTCTCTCTCTATCTATCTATCTATCTCTCTCTCTCTCTCTCTCTCTCTCTCTCCTTAAGAGAAAATGCTGTATTTAATGTACTGTCTTATGTAATTATTTATATAAAAGGTCTAACTCTTAATAATAATACTATACAACTGTACTGTATATATAACATGTATGTATTATTATTATCATAACTTTAAAGATGTATCAAAAATAAGAGGCAATAAATTAAATGATGAATTAAAAAATTATAATTGAATTGCTTTTTGTCGTACAAAAAAATCATGATTAAAGAAATATTTATATTATATAAGAATTGTCTCTCGCGTTGGGAATGACATGAAGATGAAAGTGGATTGGAATGGGATTGTAATGGGAATGTGTAGTACAGGTACTGTACATGACATGCGATGACAACAGATGTGTCCCATTTTAATGACAACCGCACGACTTGACGACCATATTCTTGTACTTCTTGAGTATGACATTGGAGTTGTCGTCAAAGTATAGGACCATAATAGCGGACAGTTTGGTCGGAGCGCAACACGGCTTAGGAACGTTATACGGGTTCATGAGATGTACCAGCGTTTGGACGATCGCATGATTGGTGGCATTCATGTGTGCGTTGAGCGGAAAACTGCACTCACCGTCGCAGAAGAAGGCCGCGTAACCATCCGGTGCTATAATCCAGTCCTATATAGATGTTTGACATATAATTAACGGTTGAATGCAATTCATTAGATATCAAATGAAAAAGTTTTTCTTTAGGAAATAAATTTGATTTAAAATATGGTAAAAGTGGCAGAATTAGAGTTTTTGTCGCTGAAAGCACTTTAAGGCAACTCTGCATTTGTGCCGTCTGTTAACAATTTTGTGTTTACTTCAAAGAATTTCATAATCAGTTTTAATATTATTATTTGATTAGTAGTTGACATCAATAGATGTTTTCTTCAATCATTTTTCTGTTTAATATATTATTCAGATTTTTGAAAAATTCTTAATAAAAAGTGACTATAAATAGAAAGTCGAACGAAATGTCAAATACTATTAGAATTGGCAGTAAAACAGATCTCTATAGAAAGAGAAGTGTTTTGTGTTTTGTTTGACGCAAAACACATATCGATGTAATGAAAAATATATAGTGAATAGAAGACGGAGAGAGAGAGAGAGAGAGAGAGAGAGAGAGAGAGAGAATCAAATCGCATTGAGTTTATAGTCGGTGTATTAAAGTCTGATTTATGTGAATAAGTTGTATATAAAAAATACATAGACTTTATTTCTCAACCAAAGTGTGTTGGAGTGCTGCACAGTGTGCTGCAGCCCAATGTTCAAGCATAATGCTATAATGTCTGACCTGCCAGCCCAGATCCCTGAAGCTCACATACAAAGTCCTTTTCTGACAACTTCTTCCAGACGCGTATCGATCGTTGGGATCTGTGGACACAAAAGTCGTTTAGTTTTTACTTCACATCAATTGTTATACACATTGTATACGAAAGAAAATATCGTATTTTAAAAAACATTTCCTGCGATGACATTGATCCGCAAGAGATCGGTATAATTGGGACGAATGGACCGAAAGATCGGCAGCCGTTTACGATTGCATTTTTCAAGAGCCGTGGATCGGGTGGACGCGTCCGCAAAGTTAGACAAGTCTCGCGGAAACGACAACGAAGTGATGTCTCCTTCTATGATCACGACGAGTGGAATCCCTATCTTAGTATGTCTTATATTGTCATCTCTCTCTCTCTCTCTCTCTCTCTCTCTCTCTCTCTCTCTCTCTCTCTCTCTTCCCTTTCGCTCTCCTTTCCTCTCTAATGTCATCGCAGGAAATGTTTTTTAAAATACGATATTTTCTTTCGTATACAATGTGTATAACAATTGATGTGAAGTAAAAACTAAACGACTTTTGTGTCCACAGATCCCAACGATCGATACGCGTCTGGANAGTGATGTCAATCGTCTGATCCATAGCTCAAGAGATGTCAAAACAAATGAGTGTTTTGTTTGCGAAACACATTTACAGCCAATACATGATGTAATCCGTGAGCACTCGTCACAAACAACGTTACCATCACATCAGGTGCTGACCCCTATTGACGGCCCCTTTGTGTGCATACAGTGTGCGAGAGATATAGTGAACGCCAGAAACACCACAAACTCTGTGTTTATTATAACGAGTTATTGTGTACTAAACAAATATAGTATACATTTGTACACAAAGTGGTCAATAGTGTGAATGAATAGACGATTGTATTGATTGCGATGAGTGTTGTGAGTGTTGTGTACACTATATGTTGTGTATAGTGTATGAGTGGGCAGTGAATCGATTGAGTCATAGGGTTTGTGATGAGACGCATGCGCTGTGAGTGTTGTCTGAGTTGTCGTATTGAGTGTTTTGTATGGTTTTTGGTGTAAATATAATAAACAGTATTTGTGTTGAAATCAAAGCCAAAAAGTGTTGTTATATTAAAGGCAAA